TATGTTTTTTGGACTTTGGCAGGGTGAGATTTAGAAAAGTATAACCACCATTAACTATAATGGTCATGTTATAGGATGAACATCTTATCCTTCCCCCCAAATTTTTATTTTAAATCTAATTACACCAATGGAATGATATCAGGAAAAGTATCTTAGTTAGAGTTTCAATTACTGTGAAGAGACACCATGACCATGACAACTATTATGAAAGAAAACATTTAATTGAAGCTAGCTTACAGTTTCAGAGGCTTAGTCCATTGTCACCACGGCAGAAGCATGGCAGCATGAAGGCAGACCTGGTGCTGGAGAAGGAGCTGAGAGTATCAGGTGTACATCTTGATCCCCAGGCAGCAGGATGGGACTGCCACATTGGGTGTGGCTTGAGCATCTGAAACTTCAAAGCCCACCACCAGTGGCCACTTCCTCCAATAAGGCCACACCTACCACAAGGCCACTCTTAATAATGCCACTTGGTATGGGCCTATGGAAGCCACTTACATTCAAAACGCAACAAAGAGTGTTGGTAGAGATGACTAAATCATGAGGATGGAGTCCAATTCTTTTATGTCACAGTATACTTCCTCCTACATAAAGGCTCACCACCTTGCAGTGATCTTTCTTCCAGACCCTCACTGCCTTCTCACCACCTGCTAACAGGCTCAATTTTCAGCTCTCATTTTTAAAGTCACACAAGGTCAGAGATCCCCTTTGCAAAGTATCTCTTTTTACTTAGGCATGATTATGGTTTTTTCTGGTGATTGATTAAATTTAATGTTCAAAACGCATTATTTTGATGTACAAGTGACATGAACTTTGGACCACTCCAGTGAAGTAGCTATTTATCTATTCCAGAACACTGAGGACAGAGCCTAAATTAACCAGAGAAGTTGCCTTTTCATATAATTTGTAAATAAATAATTAACGAAACTAAAAGGTTTGCATCCAGTTTTCAACATAGTATACAGTACCTTTAAAATCAGAAAATTGAAGTTTAGAACATTATTTATTAAGACAATAGAAAACAAGGATGAAAAGATCAGGTCAGTAACCTGTCATCACTTTGATTTTTTTCCTGTTCTTCTATTTCAGAATGAAGGTTCTTCTTGGTAATAGGGAAATAACAAGAATAATGTTCTTATTCTTCAAGTTAATGCTCTTTAATACACATGAATTCAAAATGAGTATTCTCTATTTTCAGTGGAGGAAGCTTAAGCATACAAAGTTTCAAACAACTGATCAGTCACCTCAGAGTGCTTGTCACCTCAGAACATGGCTTGTCTCTCAGATCACCTAAGCCAAACATTGCCTGGATTTCAGCTATTCTGATTATGATGATGGTTATAAATGACATTCTATAGGTAATGAATAACAGGTAATGAGCTGCTATATTAAAAAGATAAATTGTTCCACCAAGAGAAGCACCCAGTGTTTAGGTACATTATTCTAAGATTTAGAAGTGACTGGTAGAGAAGGTAAAGCTATGGACAATGCTGTTGGCATAAGCAGCAACATGGGCAGTGAAAATGTTTTAATATAGGATTTGATTTAAAAATTTCAGGAGAAAGAATTTGTAGTCCATATGAAAAAGTCTTGCCAAGAAAGCTAGCACAATGCATACCTGGTGCCTAGGAACACAGGTTAAGTTTACAGGACTCTGATTACTATACCAATGGCCTCTGCCTGTGAGGGACCTCTCTGTCACAGGAAGATGAATGTAGTCTTCCACATTACTGTTCAAATGTGTCCCCTCAGGGTTAGTGCATATCTCCAGGTCTATTCCAATTAATTCTTGAGATGAACTGTAGCTTCAAGTGTTCAGGGCCTGGAAGATCACTTGGGAATATCCCAAGAGGTTGATCAGATTGGTACAGGAACATAACAAATGAAATGACCAATAACTCACAGTCTCTTGTCACTTTCCTGCTAGCAAGTGATTAATGAACAGCCCACAAAGTCTGAGATACACAACCAATACCTGCTCTGTTGGTGATTCAAGATAAATGATGTTCCAATTTGTGTCAAGTGGCAAATGATAACCAAATTAGCATCACTATTTCAGCTAATTAACCAATTCCCACAGTCACAACTATCAAGTTTATTTTTTATTTTTGTTTTTTGGTCTGTGTAGTTGCAGGGATCCAGAGGCTGAGCTGTAAATTTCAGGGATTATCACAGAAAAATACCGGGTTCATACCCTCAGAAGTATAAATTCACCTTGTGCTCCTAGAAGTTTTCTAAAGGCTGCAAACAATAGTAACAATTAAAACTTATGTAGTAATAATTAAAATGTAATGAAAGCCAGAAGTAATGACACAAGGCTGCAATCCCAGCACTAGAGGGGTAGAGGTAATAGGATTCAGAGTTCAAGGCTAGTCATGCCTAAGTAGGAAGTTTAGGAAGTTTAAGACAGTCTGTACTACAGCAGACTGTCTAAAATTAAATAAGTAAAACACACACATAACACACTATATATATGTATATATATGTTTATATATACGTATACATACACACATATATCTTACTAATAATTGGGTGATAATCTTTTTACCAAATTCCCATAAATCCTTAAGTATTTCCAATTTGTAGCTTGCTTAATACTCTATACAAATAAAGAAACATAAATGACTTAAGCCATTTGTCTGAGGTTTCAATATCCCATATATCCCATTACAGCACTATGATAATAATGTTGATAATCACCATCCAGAATCCATAGTTTGGGGAGGTGGTTCACTCAGTAAAGTGCTTAAAGTGCTTCTAATACAAGCATGAAGACTAGAATATTATCCCACAAAACCCAAGTTAAAAATACAGATGTGGTGATGCATGCCTGTGATTCCAGAACTGGGGTGGTGGAAACTTTCATGGTATCCAAAATCACATTAAGCTGGATGCGATCCTGTTGTCTCTATCACACAAATGCTGGAAAAATCAGGTCCAGGGCAGGCATGACAGCACATGCCTTTATTGCCAGTACTTGCCAGACAGAAGCAGACAGAGGCAGATCTCCATGAGTTCAAGGCCAGCCTGTCTATAGAGTGAGGTCAGGACAGGCGGAGCTACCTAGAGAGACTCTCTCTCTCTCTCTCTCTTTCACCACAATCCTTGACTTTGAAAATGCTTCTTATCAGCACTAATTTACTTTGTATGCAATCTTTATTTAATGCTTAAAACTACATGCATGTTGACATATATTTAATATGATTTAAAATGGTTCTATTTACAATACCAGGGGTTTTGTTGTTGTTAAAACAGAAACACGCTCAGAAAGACATGAATCTTTTTGTAGTTGACACTTCAGAATAAAATATTTTTGGAGGGTAGAGTAGGAGAAAAAGGAAGTTTACTTAAATTTATAATTCCGTATTATAATCGATCATTGTGGAAAAGTCAGGGCAGTAACTTCAAATTAGTCACATCACATCCATCATCAAGAGCTGAGAGAAAAGAAAACATACATATGCGGTTGCTTGCTTTTGCTCATTTTTATTTCTCCACTTTTATGCAGATAAATGCTCCCTGCTCAGGGAATGGTCCTGCCCACAATGGAGTATTTACTAATACTATTTATTAAGACAGTGCCCTACAGACAGGTCCACAGGTTAATTCAACGTCTGTAACATGTCCCTCATTGCAACTCTTTCAGTGTGATTCTTGGTTGTGTCATTCCTGCATACTGACATCATGTTTCATTTTGAGAGAAATGCTTTCAGTTAATTTTCCAGACATCTATCTCATGGACGGAAACAATAGCTCTGCCATTAGCGGAGAGTTTGAAAGTTAACATGTGGATTTACTTGGGTCTGAAGTGTTGCTATCTCGAAGTTGCAGCAGTAGAAACTAAAGCACCGGAAGCTGGTGTAGAACCATGCAACCTTTCCTTCCTCCAAGGTGTGTTAATAAACCACTTTGAACTCGTGACAGTATGAGATCTACCCTTCTGTGAAGAGGTGGATGCTCCAGTTCTTGTTGACAGAAGAATTTGCCCTATTCAAGAGACATCTCACCTACCCTGCTCCTGATAAGGAAGCCAGTTCTGCAGGGACTTCAGTCATGCTGTAACCAGCGTTGACTGACCACCTACAGTCTTGAGAGCTACCTATGGCAACTTGGAATGAAAATAAATTTGGACACAATCACGTCCACCTTTGAAACAGGCAGTGAGAGGACTTGTGGGTGGGACAAAGGCTTCTACGCAAATCTCTAAACGTGCCAACAGCAGAGGGCAGTGAAGAGGCGCTAGATTAGAAACTCAGTGATAGGATTCTCAGGAGATAACAACCCTTTGGGAGGAGGTTGGTAGGAAAGGAAGAGATGCTTATAAGGTTTTCCCACGCCAGGTATGAAGAATTTATTTTGTTTTCCCCTACGTCTTGACAACCTCAAACAAATAAATGAGTTTAAAAAAATGCCTCCTGCGGATCCAAGACACTTTGCACATTAATGACTACAAACTTTCCCAACAGTGCTGAGAAAAATGCTATGTCTGCTAGAGAGGAATTGTTTGGGGAGCTCCAGAACCTTTGGGTGGGGATTCAGACAATAGGCCAAAAGGAAACCCCAGACTTCTTCCAGAAAGGGAACAGTGTCTGGGACATTCGGTAAACTACTGCTGTAGTTGAAACCTGGAATAGAGGAGCTACAGCCCTTGGGCTGCCCAGCGGCTCCCCCTCGTGTGCCCAGCTTCTCACCGCAGGTCACAGAGACCCTGAGGCTAGCCTCTGGCGGGACGAGGCTCAGAATCCTCAGAGGCAGCGGGACAGCTGCCGCCTTGTTGCACAGCTCAGCGGTGGCTTTTTCCTTCTTTTCTTCTCTCTCCCCGCCCCCTTTCCCCAGGCAGAAATCAGTCATCCCTGCTCCCCCTCCCCTTGCCCCACGCCTCCGTGCAGGATCCTCCCACTCTGGCGCCTAAAGCGTTAACCCGTGCCCCTACCACTAGAGCGAGGGTTCCTAAAAAGGAAAGGTACACGGTTGCCTCAGGAGAGACTTGGTAGATCAAAGGCAAGGCAGGGCATACTTCCTGTTGTCCAGACCTTATATAAAACGTCATGATCGTCTTGGTTGCAGAGACGCACCTCGCACTGGCCCAGTGGCTGCCGCCTGAGGTTTCCCAAGGACCACAATGAACAAGTGGCTGTGCTGCGCACTCCTGGTGGTAAGTCGTGGGCAGGAGGCTGCTGGCCACCTAGGCTCGGGACCTCCCCTCCAGCTGATGGGGATCAAGCCCGGCTTTCTCAGGAGGGAGCTGGGGTTTGGTTGGAACAGGAAGCCTTTTTCTAGCTATACCAGGCTGCTCTGGAAAGTGAGTGACTTTCCATGAAAAGTCCCTGCTCAGTTTATGCAGAGCGGAGAGAGACACAGAAAGAGGAGACTTAAGACATTTTGCTTGTTTTGTTTTTTTTTCTTTTAAATCCATTTTATTTACCTTATTTATTTGCTTATTTACATTTGTGCAGTACATCATACCTTTGCTTGACCTGACCTGTTTATTACTGCAGGTGAAGTGGACTGTATGTTGGAAAGAGAGGTCAGACTTTTTGAAACTTGTGTAGACCAGTTTGGATGGGGAGTGTAGTATGAGGCTTCATTAAGCTGACTTACATATGTGTTATGAACGTTGAGAAAACATTCTCTCGTTTAACTGTTCAATTTACTATTTTAATAAAGTTTTATTACTATTCTGGTTTTCAACTTTAGTGTTACTAAAATTATGAACAGACTAATGATAATTATGTTCTAGAATATATTTAAACAAACAGATCAGTTCAACACCAAATAAAGAGGGCTCAAACCTGTTTTGAAATGCTGTTTGGAAAATAAAGGAATCTCTCTAACATAGTGTATCACCTTCCCTTCCTTTTCTTCTTTTTAAAAGTTAAAAAAAGAAATCTCTTTAGCTTAGGCAGTTGGAAAATTGTTGCTAAGGTTTATATACAAGTTTTCCTGTGCCAAAAATGTATTTCCTTGTGAAATACATGAAGTAGCAAGTCAGACAGAGAAGTCTGTCTTCAACTGACATCTGTGTCTGGGATACGCTACAGCCAGTGTTTGAATTTCCACCTCCAACTCACACAGTGTGAATGGAAAACTACATAATCTTTTCCTTAGGTCTGGGAACACAGAGATGTGCATATACAATAGAAAAGGCACTCAGGAAAAGGTAGACAGGAGATTATACATATACTATCTACATGTGTAGACCTTATATGTGTGTATTATGTATTTACATGTACACAGATATGTGTATATTGGTAATTGATATATCCACTAATATAATTGTATCTACATGTACACAGATATGTGTATATTGGTAATTGGTATATCCACTAATATGGATATATGGAGAAATTTTAAATTTTATTTTATTGTAGGTCTATGTGTGTTTTGCTTGTATGTATGTCTGTGTACCACTTGTGTGCCTGGTGCTGAAGGAGGCCACAAGATGGCATCAAACCCCTTAGAACTGGCGTTACAGGCAGTTGTGAGCTGCCATGTGGGTGCTGAGAATGGAACCCAAGTCATCTGGAAGAGCAGCCAGTGCTCTTAACTGCTGAGCCATCCCTCCACTTCCACTATGAAAAACTTTTTTAAGAAGTGAAACTTTTTAGGGACAGTGAGACGGCTTCATAAAGGCACCGACAACTTAACATCGCGAGTTCGGTCCTCAGATCCCTCTGTGGAAGGAGAGAACTGACTCCTGAATGGTACCCTTTGAGACTCACACTCTGTGACACATGTGCAACCCACATTCACACACAACAAATAAACGAAAAAGGAAAGAGCACCTGAGTACTTGTACAAGTGGGGCTGCCTGAGTTCGTTTCTCAGCACTCGAGAGCTGGCATATGGATCTGCAAATACATTGTCAGCATTCTCCCCAAAAGGTCCCTGTATCCCTCCCTTTCACGGCTATGTTCATAACCAGACCAATCAATTCCACAAATTGGTATGGCTCGTGCTTAAGCTTTATATATGAAACATCATGGACTTCTTACATTCACTCCTTTAAAGGTTTGCTCACAGATTGATCACTAGTGGTGGATGTACAAAGTAGATTGCTTGCTTTCACTACTCTACAGTACCCCATCATCTGCGGCTCCATGATTAATATGGTGATATTTTGATTCCTTCCAACTTCTTGAATCTGCCTTAACATTTCAGGTTTTCACTAAATAACATATATTTCTCTCAGCAATTGCTCCCAAATAGAAAAAAAGGCCATCATTTTAGAGGTGCTCTAGGTAAGGACACATGTACATAGATAAGTGCATAGATAATAACAAATTTTAGAGGAGAGATGTATATAGGTAATATTTATTTTAGATAATACATTACCAGAAGAGAAAGGTTTGGATGTGTCTTGAATATTTAAATGAATAGGGAGGATCTTGCTCTTTCTTTAGTTTCTAAGGTTGCCTTTATTTTATGGATGATGGGAAATGGACACATTTTACTTGCATGTGAAGAGGCTGAATGCATCGTAGAAAAACAGAGAGGCATGGCTGCAGGAACCAGAATCACTACAGATATTTGGCTCTTTGTATGAGACATCCCACTGGATAGTGGGGAGAAAGTGAGAAGCCAGGTACATATTGTTCCTGCCTTATGGACCTTACAGCCTATCGAAAGAGGCAGATATGGGACAAGTATTCCATGTACTATAACAGTTACAAAAGAGGAAGCCCCAGATGATTGGGAAATTAAAAACAAAACAACAGCTTTCCTACGTGAGCTCATAAGGGAGGTTGCAGGACAGTGGTTCTCCAATAGACCCAGTTCAAATGCCCACACACCAATTTCCTGAGGGACAACAGGACTGTATTTCTTCCCTCTGGAGTTCCTGTCTTCTAAAACCTGGCTTCAGGGATGTGCCAGGTTTAATGTGTACATTAAGAGAACCAGTGCAGCCTCTGCTTCTCATTGGTACCACCTCGATGACAGCAGGTAACTAAAGCATGATCTAGAGCCATCTACACTCAAGAAGTACTGCTGATACTCAGAGGAGGAAGGGTTGGCCTCCTATTCTCACTTTGAGGGAGCAATGGGGTATGTTATTGCTACAGATGAAGACAAGGCATCCTATGAGGGATGGAAAAACATGTGGCAAAGTATATTTTAGGTTCTTCCATGAGAGTGGAATATATACTGTTAAAAGAGAGGAGGGCAGTCCTTAGGATAGGTCTGTGGTCAGGGGCATTCTTAGAATGCTCGCTACCACAGTCAAGCAGAGAGCTGTTTTGCAAGGAGGCATCATTCATCATACCAAGTCATTTCCTTCTCTGTTGCCATGTGTTACTGCATGAACAGAGAACATCAACACGCCTGACTTAGGACTAGGCTTTAGCTGTTGTTAAAGTCTCCATCATCCATCATGCAGTGTCAGAACCCGTTTTGAACTTCTCAAAACAGAGCTCTGAATTTGTCCTTCTATGCCAGAAGGGAGTGGAGGGGAACAAAGGCAGAAAGGCAGCTGCTCTTTGCTTGGGAAAACTGCCCAATGTTCCAGTCTTCCTTTGGGATAACGCTCTTGTAGTTTCTGACTTTTGATTGGCATTTATTTTGTCTTCCCTCCCCTTACCCAGTGGATGACTTCATGAGTTTGCTAGTCTTGTTTGTTTGTTTGTTTGTTAGGAGACTATTGATGCTCAAAATATTTCTAAAAGTCAGTGACATATCCTCAACCCCATGCAGCCCTGCTTCATGTCCATAGCAACCTTCCTGGCCTCTGTCACCTAACAATCTTCAGCACAGTTCCTAATTTCAATCTAGTTTTAAATTTTACTTCTTAGGCTAAATACTACAGTTGCCAAATACCATTGGTGGAGGAAGAAGGCAGTCTGTGCCAGATGTTTTATTCAGGAAGTTCTAGAAGCCACAGTCATGGTTCCCAGGGGAACACTGAGCTCACAGTCTGCCATTCTTGCTTTCCTGTCCACTAACTTGCCTTCTGAGTTTTGCTCCCAATGGCTTCCAGCCCACATGCTCCCTCTGCATAAAGGCTTTCTGTGAAAACCACTATTTTCCTTAGCATGGCATTAACCAAGAGAATTTCCTTCAGCCTTAATTTCGACTTTGGAGCCAAAAGGAACAGGGAGGGGCTTAAAGTACACCAAAACAAAACAAAAACAATCTTTTCATTTATCAGGATTAACAAACAGTTAATCAAGGACTACCAGTCTTTGGCTGCCCCTTTATATTGCTCTGATGAAGCAAATATGCCATAATTATTAATGTATTTATATTTTATTCAATAGATCAGACTTCTTGATGATATTTGACTTTCTCTTCGATGCACTTGTATAATAAATCCTTTGTAACAATTCAGTGTACATATATTTTGCCTACACATATAACTTTTACAAAATCAATATCCTGGCATAACTGTACTATAAAATAGTAATAAAATGAAAGTAATTCATAATAAAACAAGCTTCAGTAGACAAAGTAATAAAGTCATGACATGCTGGCATTTTTATGTGGCGCTTCACCACAGACACGCAGCTAGGATTGAATATGGGAGCAGGTAGACCTCAGTGGTGACCCAAAAGCCTGACCAGGCTTGGCTTTGGTGTTGTGGTTTTCTAAAATGGTGATACAATCTTGCCAGAAATTTTAATTTCATTTATTTTCTCACCAAATCACGTGTCACTAAACTCCTGAAAAATTCATTTTGGACAACAATGGTGGAAAAGATACCTCCTGTATAAATAAATGGAGTTCCAGCATAGGTCTGGACAATGGTCCTTGTTTTGTTTCTATGGCCATGATAAAAATGCCTTGATGAAAAGCAGCACAGGGAAAATGGGTTTATTTAGCTTACAATTCCACATTGCAGTCTATCATAGCAGAAAGTTCACAGTAGCTGGGGCCTAAGCATCTACTTACATTCGCCGTCAAACGTAGAAATGAATGCATGCATGCTGGCTTGCTCAGCTCTGTTTCCCCACTTTTATACAGTTCAGGAACCTCTGCCTAAAGAATGGTGATGTGCACATTCAGAGTAAGTGTTCCCACCACAATTAGAGAAAGTAAGAAAATCTTTCACAGGTTTGCTCACGTCCCACAGTGTAAGGAGACCTAGGTGGGCCTTCATTCAGACTATTTTGTCAAATGAATCTAGGTGATGTCAAGTGGATATTTAAAGCTAACCACCAC